ACGTAGTGGTGCATAATTCAGGGTTGCCAGCTGGCCTAAAATATGGCCAAGTCCGCGAACCTAAAACGTCAAAAAGGGTCTATAACTCAATATATACTAGTATATTTTAGGTTCCGGTGTAAAAATTCCATTTCCTTCTTATTTAAATTTAACTAGGAAGTACACCTATCATAAATTTTAGCCGGCCAACGCAATTGACAAAAAACTAAATCGCGGAATTTGTCCGAAAAAAAAGACTGTCTGGCAATCTTGTTTCATAATAGTACAACATTTGAAATAATAGTACGAGATGAAGCAATCGCAGTCAAAGTGTTAAACAAATACTAAACATAAACTGAACGACAACCAAGCAAACCTCAAACGAAACGAGACTTACGAGAAAAATTTACACTGTTTAAGATAAACATGTGCACGATTCAAACATTTGATTTCCATTCACTGCATACAATTGTTTAATATAAGGTTTTATAATTGTAATGATAATTGTCTCGTCGACGAAAACTAGAGGTCACGGACGGACAGACGGACATGACGAGCACAATAGTGCATCGAAAAATCGAAAAAAAAAAATTAAAAATATGACTGTTTACAAACAATCAAATGATTTAATCACATGATTTAATTAGTTTGATTTAATCATTTCCAACATTGCTCAGAACATCTTATATCCCATATCCTCCTTATATTTTTTCTGATCGATTTTACCATCTTTTCACGCCTTATAACTGAGTCAACCTCTGGCCCATCTACCAGAATAAACTAGCCTTCAAAGCTTTATTATCCTACCTACCAGAAGAACCTCTGAATTCCTACGATAGCCGCGACTCCTCCCAACATCTAAAGCCCCCACACAGCATCCTGCCAACGCGTCGCTAATGCTATTGCTACGGATGAAAAAACATTGCGCTGCGGAAATTCTTCGCATTAAATATCTCTGCGTATATTCTTTACAGGAGATAAAGGTTATGCCTGGTGAATTATTGTTTAAAAATATTTATATTTATGTAACGAATCTTTAAAAATAATAAATAATAGTATAATAAATAAAGTAATAATGGTAATAAATACGAAGAAACTAATTAATATTTATTTAACGAATCCTTTTGTACTTGGCGAATATTGATTTATCATTTACATATATCAGTATTTAAGTCATGATATATGTACATCTCGAGAGATTTGATCGAGCTCGAATTAAGTGATTCGTTATCGTTATTGCCAAGTCAAATGTTCTAATAATTAGGTCGTTTTTAATACCAGCCTAATCGGTCAAATCAGATGAGATGAGAATATATTAATAAATATTAATGATTACTATGTAGATTTATTTTCATTTTTTTTTCAACTAATGTCCTTGAGACCACGTCCTCTTCTATATTGTCGAATCTGGATTTTCATGGATCGACCAGCAGCAATTCGTGGATATGAATTCATACAAATTCATATAATCATACGAACCATGAAGACCTTCAAAATGCTTTTTAACACTGATATTTTTTTTCTATTTACTTTTTTCATATACTCAAGCCTTAGTAGAAAAAACTTGAAAGACTTGTAAAGATTTCAGTGATCAAGAATGAAAAAAATATAAACCCTTCGATTAACAATTTCAAGCGAAAAAAAAACTTAATGAGCGTTGATACGACGAGGATTTCAGAGTTTAAAGATATTCTGCGGACCGAAGCTAGTAAAATCATAACCACGTTCTAAAATATGTGTAGCTTGGTTGTTAATTATCAGCGTACGTAATCGTTTCTTCAAATTCTAAATCGGTTCACTCTTAAATATTTTATAAAACCAACGTAAAAATAGCGCGTATTCGTTTAAAGTATTTTTACAGAGAATAGTTTGATCTTAATAACAAATTGATCGATATGTTCAATACGCCAGAGATTATCGACATTGGATGATGTGCTCTTCGTAAGCTCATCATAAGAACATATTTTCTGTAGAACTTCTTTAACATTCGTGCAATGAAGAGAAATTTGTACAAGCATTTGGGCATGTTATCATTAAAATAAACTGTAAAAAAATTACAATAGGTGAGCAAAAAAATTAATGTTATTTGAATCTGTCCACGGACACATAATAATGCCATATATCTTAATTTCTAATGGGATAGAAAACATTAACTTTAAGTCAATCGATAATTTCTTATTAACAACATTCATGGATTTTTGCAATTAATTTTTTGCATCCCAATTTTCATTCAAATTGAAATTCTCACTTTAATGATTTATTCTGATATAAAGTACATGCAAAAAAAATTCGTGCACTTTCTACTCCTTTAGTTTTTGAAATGTCTTTATGTTTAGTTCAGTAACAATTCATGATCGGACAATTGCTGGAATTCAATAGAATATTAGTTTGTGACCTCATATTGTAATTTTCATCACATTTGAAAGGGATGAAATCATTTCTTGTTCGCAAATGTTTTTCGTTCGAATATATGTACCTGTTTTCTCCCTATTAATTATGTTCCTAATTCACACCTTAGCTGATTTAATTTGTTAAAGCAGAAAACATTGCAACATTTTATGAAAACAAAACATTTTTATTTTATTTTATTTTTTTGCAAACATTTTATAAGCCAAATTTTCTTCAAACCTGTTAATCCACAAGTAAAAAGTCTATAGCATCGAATGCGGTCGTACATAAAAAATAAACACTTAAGCAAGGATCATGAAGGGATTCCCCCTCCCCCCGTTGGCTTTTGCAGCTGTAGAACCGCAAAAAATTTAAATTTTCGATTGCTGTGCCGCAATTTATAAAAGGTCAAATCACTCGATTGAATCTGCAGTCGCCCAGTCGAATGGGAAATACAACTTCAAAATTTTATGCAGTAACCTAATATATTAAACTAATGTAGTAACTTAATGTATTATTAGCCTTATGTATTAACCTAATGAGTGACATAATAAAAATGCAGTAACCTGAAATAACTTCGAACATTATGCAGTAACCTGGTATATTAGCCTTATGTAGAAACCTAATGAGTGACATAATAAAATGCAGTAACCTGATAAACTTAAAAATATTATGCAGTAACCTAATGAATTGACCTAATGCAGTACCATAAAGAGTAACTAATTGTGTAATCATGATGAACAAGAGACAACAAAGTTCTTTATTATGAAGATTAAGCATATGATCAAGCCCCATCAAGGTTACCAATTAAATATTTACAAAAACATTGCAAAGAAATAATTAATATTACATTGAATTTAAGAATCGTTTTTTACTTGGTTTTTAAAGACTTTCTTCTGATGTAATTTTAATTTATTATTATCGCAAGCAAATTTCAATTTTTCAATTACGATAAAGTTGTGCTCACGGAGCATAAGATCCTTAAAACCACAACTAAAATAGATGTAATAGTTTAATCGAGATAAGATAAGAGTTTATCATTTCGACGGGACAATTCTTTAGATCTAACTATCAAGTTGATAAAATCGAATACAAACTTAAGATTTAGTATAGTATATTTTTGATGTTACCAGTATATTGTTACGCACGCTCACCTTCTCAACTGTGCCACCAGGTATTTAAATATATACTAATAAATTATGAGTATTTCCAGTGGTATTAATTGTATATTCTGTTCATTTCATATAAGCTGGCCATCTATAAGAAATAATTTATGATAATAAAGCCCAATCTCGGACACAGAATAAAAGGTTTGTTTTTGATGTACTACTATTGATGCTAATTTTAAAGTTAAATTCTTTTTAATTCTAGATAATCTGATTCTTTAATCCAAGCATCGAAGTCAGTAAATTTTTTTTAAACTTACGTTAATATTGACAGATTAATTTGCTGTTCAGATTTATCAATTTTTTTAATCGTGGCACTTTTCGAGGATTCCATTCGCGATGGAAATGTAAGTAATATTCGGATTTTAGTGTTAACGGATATTAGTGTTAACGGATATTAGTGTTAACGGATATTAGTGTTAACGGATTTTAGTGTTAACGGATATTAGTGTTAACGGATTTTAGTGGTAACGGATATTAGTGTAAATTGTTTATTTTGCTTATTTACTAATATAATATATGCATTTTTTGGATCCTCATAAAAGTGTATTGGCGCAGTGTTTAATCTGGAAATTTGGATCCATCTGCATGCCCTTAATCCTACTTGTAATTTTTATTTTATACATTGTGCTTTATTAACATTATGTTCAATATTTTTCTCTGCTTCAATTTTCTGTAAACAAATTCGAACCGACAATTTTTTATCATAGTTTAAAAATTACATGCTCAGATAACAGTAAAGATCACTTAGCAAAATCTTTCACAAGCATATATACTTCTGTCATGAATCCCGTTTCTTGTAATGACGTGGACTTCACATCGTCAGCATCGACATCTATAGGTATCACTGTTGCAAGGTTAAGTATTAATGAACTGCAACATTTGTGGCAGAATAATCTGGCAAACTTGGCATTGCCAACATAAAAATGTTGTTACTGTTCTCAAGTTATGCATTAACTAACTTCAACATTTGCAGCAGAACTATATAGCAAATTTTGCGTCATCAAAAATGTTATCAGTGTTGTTAGGTTATGTATTGATGAACGCCAACATATACAAAACAATTGTCGACATCAAAAATTTTGTTGCTGTTCTCATGTCATGCATTAATAAACTTCAACATTTACAGCAGAACTATAAAGCAAATTTTTCATCACTTCCAACAAAAATGTTATCAGTGTTGTTAGGTTATGTATTGATGAACGCTAACATATACAACGCAATTGTCGACATCAAAAATTTTGTTACTGTTGTCAGAAAACGTTCCATCAAGGGCACTTGCTTCACCTTGCTCCTTGTCCTCGAAAGGCGAACTGACATTCAAAACAAAAATTATAACATGGAATTGTATTGTAAAAGAATTGTAAAAATTCAGGGACGTTACAAAAATTTTAACGTCCCTGAACAAAAGAAAAATTGTAACGTGGATCGTTTAAATAGAGCCCCTCGGACGCCAACGCGGTCAGTGCTGCATTGCACATATCAAACGCTGGAAGCAAACATGTCTGCGATCAAGGTAAGGAATATTATTCGTGATCATGATGTTTTGCAATTCAATTTTCATACTCATTTTTTTCGACCATTTTTTGTTATATAAACTTACATTCGAAAAATTGGAAGAAAATCATCCAAAGTTGACCAAAGCAGACCTACATATTCGCATTGCTTAGGGTAGACCATTAATTTTAAATTCACATTCCTGTTGCGGTATACAATAATTTTCTTCTTATTTTATTTAGTTAGTAATTTAATGATTATGGAATTCCATTCAAGTAACCTTGAAATTTGCGCGATTCACAGAACTTAGTTGATAGTTCGACGCCCTATTTCTTCAGTTATTATTATTCTTTAAACAACTAAGTATTATATCTTCCATATATAATAATATTATAATAATTTGAATCAAAAAAAGCTTGCGAAGCTCAATAAATTTCGGGTGGCAACATAATAAAATTCTCATTTAACATAATCAGAAAATTTACATAAACTACTACACCTACTTCGCATCGTAGCTGGAAAAAGGCATTCAATGAACCTAGCGATAAACTTGTCTATTTAAATGCCGGTTCAAAATTTTTGATGTGTCTCACCGGCATTGTAAAAACTCTTAGACGTCTGGTCTCTGCAGATACTTATTTATTTTGAATTTGCAGTACTCTGTATTTATTCTAAAAAAATCTTTAGGAATGCCTTTTTCAGTTCCACGAACATTTTATGAAGCTTTTTGAAGCAGATTGAATTTCAAGATTACTATGAGATACTACGCGAGATGTAAGTGCATGTACTTTGATTGGGATCCGAACAATTCTGCATTATCATTTGGTATTAAATTGTATTAATGTAAGTGTCCCAACACAAACTTCATTGCAACATGGATAATTACTAAGCAATAAGTTTAATATTTTATGCTTTTTTAGTGCATTTTCTCATTTATGGAAAAAATGCACTATTGTGCTCGCCATGTCCGTCCGTCTGTCCGTCCGTCCGTGACCTCGAGTTTTCGTCGACGAGAAAATGCGCTCTCTGTCACTCACTGCAGTGAGTACTGAGTTATATTTCTTCAACTGTGGTAGGCAAATTAGGAACAAGTTGAAAACTTCTAAAACTGTTATACTCCAATTGAGTTCGATGTCAACTGTCTTATCCAATATTATTATATATAGCCGACACTGGTATCCACTATTATTCTAGCCGGCACATTTTTCCACTATTATTCTAGCCGGCACTTTTTTTCCACTATTCTTCTAGCCGACACTTTTTTCCCGCACTCACGAAGGCCGATATGAGTGTCGTCAAAAAAAGGCAAAAATTGGGCTCAAAAAGTATTAGCCGCCATGGACCCTAAAAACCGGACCGCCAAAAAACCGGACCGAGCCTCTGTTTTAACCGTGACAACAGAGGCTCGATGTCAACCGATTATTGCTGTAGAAAAAACATTGCCAGTATTTTTGTAACGTGTTTCAAGAAGTTGAAGAGTGAAAATAAGTTGAAATTTTTTCCTAATTTACACATATGACCATGTACGAACTGACTTAAATAAATAAAAGGGGCGATCAATTTAGATCTCACCCATTAAGTAGGGAATCGAGTAAGAAAAATCCTGGAGGTATAGTATTATTATTGCATCGGGAAGAGGATCGTTGATCATGCGCAACAGATTCATTTATTTTTAGCGGATAATCGAAGTACTTACAGAGTAGAAAACGATCGACAAAATAATGAAATTTTACAAGTCTCTTCAGTTAAATAGTTTTACTTGGAACTCCATTAATTTTTGTGGTTAAATCAGCGGTAATGTTGAGCGAAGATGGAGTTTTTCAGATTCCTGTAAACGCTAAATTGATCAGGAACCCAAAATATTTATGATTATCCTTTTAGCGACCAATTTTCTTCGTGTCCAAAATACTATATTAAATACAATTTGAATTGCAAAATTTAATCAGAGAAAAATATTTGAAAGGCGACATATTTCTCGGTGTGGGCATGCAGCCTGGAATTAAACGCGATATTTGACCAATTGGGCAAAAGAGCTTCAAAGAAAAACAAAAAAAAATCCATTGTGAGAAGCGATATGATGACACCAGAGGATTTTTCTCCGTATGTAATCATCTCCATAGACAGGAAAATTGTACCTGATATACATTGCCGTGAAGAATTATGCAAGAATATTTGACATGTATATGCAAATTAATCATTATTCAAATTATGGGGCAAAAAATGAAACGTGAAATTATCAAAAAATGAGGCTCGATAATTTTTCATGTATGTGATATGATTTTCATGTATTTAACACAATTTATTTTTCTATTCGTGTTCTTCATTTTGTTCAATAACATTAAGGATCTAATTACGCCTTTATTTTATAGAAATCATTTAATGCCATGGGTGAATTCACTAATGTATAAAAGTGCCTTACTTTTTTTACACTTGTGCAATAAGTTGAGTTAAAACTTGTAATTTCTATCCTGCTTAGCAAAAAAAAAATAAATTTCTCGTTGATTTTCAAGAATTACCATAACCCCGTGCCTCTCAATTCCGTTAACTTGAAAATATCACCTGCAATTCTAGGGTAGTTCAAAGCAATTTTAGGTAAAAACAGCAAAATAATTTTTTTAACTTACATCGTTGGTTGAACTTTCGGAAATGTATATTTTTTGGCAGAGATACAGAGCACAGTACCTCTCTTTCTGTGTTTTTCTGAAGTTCAGCATGATAATTCTGTGTTTTTCTGAAGGTCAGCATGATAATACAACATAAAACATAAACAAATAAATCAATTGTCGGTAAATGCAAAAAAAAATCATCTTAAATTCGCATGTTTCCAGCATGTGTAATATCACCCTCGTATGTTTTTCAGGTTCAGTTCCTGCTTCTGTTGGTGGTGGCAGCCTTGTTGATGCTGTTGAATTCAACAGAAGCAGCACCTCGAGCAAGCCCGATCTTCTTCGGCAGGTCCAGCAATCAAGGACGAGACTCTCGTGAGAACATCTTCGAGACCATCGGCGATTTTCTGTTCCGGGGGTAATCGACGAGCGGGATTGTGCAAGTCATCCTGTGTAGCGACCGGCCGGCCTGTCAAGGAGAAGTGATATTTCTGATATTGCTGTTGGTGCTGAAATTTTGGATTGGACCAAGAGATAAATTACCTCAAATTCTTTCGAAGGTGATCATCGTGATTAGTTTTTTACAAAATTACTTATTGCACAAAGGTGTATCGGTGCAATTACAATGTATGACGGGAATTATATTACAAATTTCCCAAAGAAAATTCGTTGGTCAATTTTTTTCTATGTTTTTGCATTATGTGGCACGTGACTCTTCTGTTAGTGGCGCAGCAACTGCCAATGAAAAATGATGTATATCCGATTGTTCACTCCTTTTCTCATTAGATGAGACCATTAATTTCTATCAGACATAATTATCTTTATACGATTAAAATTCACCTAAACGACGTGAGGAAAGGTAATGGAAAAGGGGAAACAGAGTAACAAGAGCCAAACTATTAAAAAATTAAAAATAAAAGTATCGCTGTGATTGTAAGTTCTCAGAATTTTTTTCGTATATCGTGATTTATAATTACCTGTTCTTCACGTTGTTAAAACAAACATAAACAATTGGAATTGATATAAAATGATAACCAAACAAATTCTCTGATTTTTATTTTCACCTTATCCGAATATTTGCTTGAGATACCGTCGAGGCATGATTTCTGATGTTAAGCTCATTTTTCAAGTGGGCTTACAAAACTTAAGTTTTACAAATGTTGTAAATTGTGGTTAGTTAACTTTTGAATTTGGTTCCTTTGCTCAACGTCAAAATTTATGAAAAGAAAATAAAATACATGTTCTTGCAATTCATTTTAAAGATTTTGACCCTAATTTTCGGCTTCTGTGCTGTCTCAGTTCATAATAGCAAATCATAATATTGGCTCGCAACAGCTACAGACACAAGGCCGCCGTCGGCTGAGATTGGCGACTCTAGGTCCGCGTTTCTTGATGGGACTTTGATCGGTCCCTAATAAATTTACTGTCGTTCTAATATTAACACGATATTTTAATTGGTCACGACCCGAATAAAAATTAAGGGTGGTTCATCGATGATTATAGGTGGCGATAGCAGCTTACAGGTGGCATAACGGTGGGTGGCCAGATCTGTCGAAAACAGACAATAAAACACTAATAAATCGAGAGGGTGGCGAGTATAGGTGGGAGTCATTGATGAATCATCGATGATTTATAGGGTCTGAATCAACGATGGCACAGTGCAGACAAATCTCTTGTAAGCCACCGTTTGCCCAAACTACACAGTGCACGAAGGTATTTGTCACTGTTATTTATCTAACGCAGAGAGGTGTTATTGGGTTGCGGGTCATTCGAAATCAAAACGAGACCATGACCTCGTTCAGTGGGCTTGGCTTGCAAGATTGAATTCCGTTAAAGAATATCTAGCAGCAATTTGGTGTTAATTCGGTAATTACGAGGAAAATTTATACACAGAAGCAAGGTTTTCACAAATTTTTCCAGTCAAAGTGAAGCCACTGGGCATTAATCAGACTGCTCATGATATAAGTTGTCCGAAGAACAATAGAAAATTTTGCAGCTTTTGCAGTTTTTTATAAAATGACAGCGAATGAAAATTTTTTTGTTCACCTGAGATATTGAGTAAATTTATTGCGAATTTTGCGTATGCTTGAACTGGCGATCAACTGGAAATATTGCGATCAATTCAGACTAATTATTGTATCAATCAATATAAATTGTATGGATTGTCGGCAGATTTTCAGCCCCCGCGCGTAACCGACCAGCGGCAACCGCGGGCTCATCCGTTGTCGTTGATGATCGTATTATATTGTTGATGATTCAGCAGTTGCAGTTCAGTGCAAAATTCACTAGGACACAAAAATGTAACGTTTGCTTCGCATTTCACATCTTACAAAAACGGTCACTCGTGTTGAAATTATTGCAGTGAATTTGTAAATTTTTCTATACCACTGCAATTAAGAGATTTTTATGGACACATTTATATTATTATTTTTTCGAGTTTACCATTATCACATACACAGAAAACAACACTCGTACAAAAACGAGCTGTCGAGTCACAGAAAATGAAAAGGATATAGCTGTTAATCGTTACCTGCATTAAATTTAGATTTCTTCTGGACTCTGAAACTCGTGGAAGTCAAATGAATTCTAAATTGTATCAGAATTACGACGGAAAAATCGAAAAATTTTGTATAAAATATTCATATGTATTGGTTATAAATAACAGGAGGATTTTAAAACAGCCATCCTGCAGGCTGTGGCCCTGCAGTGACTCGTTTTCATACCTCACACTATCATTTATTGTATATTGTTCATATAATATTTATATAGTGCCACCAAATATTGTGAATTTCGTTTAGAATGCCCAATGAGGCAACATCAGCCAATCTTTATTATTAATCTTTATTAGCTTTTATTTATCTTTATTTATCAATCTTTGTTAGCTCTTGCCTCATTTTCTGTCTGCCGCCGTGGAGTTAACAGCTAAGGGGCAAGTTGCCACGTTCTTAATAATTCAATTTTTATAATGTAATTTAATATTTGGAAGTGTACCTGTCATAACTGAATCACCATGTGTATTTTCTGTATTCTTTTGATCTTGTTTTTCCACTGTGTTCATTTCATGACTTTTTGTCATGAATCGTTAAGCTTAATAATAACAGTTTACCAGTATTAAAAGTCCGAGTATAAATTCTGTTTTGCGTAATTTCAGTATATTAACTTCCATGTGAATTTCATGTTCTAATTATGTCCTTCTTCGAAGGTTTGTCTCTCTTCCGCGCACTATATTTTACAGTTTCCTCATGACATCTTATATCCCATTTTTTTACTCTTGGTCTTTTTTTTCTATTTACTGGGCCTTTTTCATACTCAAGTTTCAGTTGAAAAAACTTGGGAAACATGTAAAGAATTATGTGATCAAAAATAAAAGAAAAAGATTATAGGATGTATTAAAATTGAAATTTATATTCATGGTAATTCAGTTCAAACAACAAATTGCAAGAATAATCAATCGAACGACCAAGTTTAAAGTAAACACACAGTGGAGATAGAAAACAATTAATGGCCAGGTAAAAGAGAAGCAGCATAAAAACTATTTTATTAACAATTTCAAGCGAAAAATAACTTTGTGAGTGTTGATACGACAAGGATTTTAGACTTTAAAGATATCCTGTGGATCGTGGAAAGTAAATTCATAACCACGTTCTAAAATACGTGTAGCGAAATTGCTAATTATTAGCGTGATTCCAATCATCATCCAATGTGGAGATATCTTGCACACTGAACATATCGATCAATTTGTGATTATTATCAAACTATTCTCTGTAAAGAAATTTTGAACCCATACGCACTATTTTTGCTTTGTCTTAAAATATTTTTAATATTCGTGCATTGAAATGAAATTTAGACAAGCACTAGGGCCACTTTATCATTAAAATAATATGTAAAAAATATAAAAAGTGAAAAATATTACAATGGAAATTGTTAGAATCTATCCATGGACGCATTATAATGATATTTATCTTAATTTCTAATAGGATAGAAAATATTAACTTTTAAAAATCCATGAAATGCAAAAAAATTTTGCATTTCATTTTTTGCATCAAAAATTTCATTCGAAATTGGAATTCTCCCAATATTGATTTAATTTGATTTGAAGTACTAGCAACGGAAATATTAGTTTTTAACGTCAAATTGTCATCTTCAGCACATTTTGAGAGAAATAATTTAAAATTAAAGACACTTGCTGTAAAACACATGCTGTGAGACACATGCTGTCACTGTTGTTTGTAAGACACATGCTGTAAGACACATGCTGGAAGACGCATGTTGTAAGACACATATGCTGTAAGACACATGTTGTAACAGAACACACATGCTGTAAAACATGTGCTGTTAGACACATGCTCTAAGACACATGTTCTACGACACATGCTCTAAGACACTTGCTGTCACTCCTGTGAGGTTAAGTATTCATAAACTCCAACATATGTAGCAGAATTATCCTGCGGACTTTGCATTACCAACATGAAAAATATCGTTACTGTTCTCAAGTTATGCAGAGATAAACCTCAACATTTACAGCAGAACTACTAAGCGAATTTCGCGTCGCTTTCATCGGGAATGTAATAACTCGTGTTGGGTTATGCATTGATGAACGCCAACACTTTTGCCAACATCAAAAACAGTTGATGTTGGCAAACTGTTCCTACTGTTGACAGGAAGCGTTCCATCAAGGCCACATGCTCCCACCTTGTATCTTGTCCTCGAAACTAGCGCTGACATTTAAACGTCCCTGAACAAAAGGAAAATGAGTCGTGGACCGTTTAAATAGAGTCCCTCGGTAGCCAACGGTTAGTGTTGCATTACACATATCATAAGCTGGAAGCAAACATGTCTGCGATCAAGGTAAGAAATATTATATGTGATTATGGTATTTAGCAGTTCAATTTTTAAACATTTTTTTTTGCTTCAATATATTTTTTGTTAAAATAAACTTGCATTAGAAAAATTAGAGGAAAATCATCCAAAGTTGAGCAAATATGTTCCAAATATTCGCACTGCTCAGGCCAGTAATGATAGTGGTATTCAAAAATTTTTCACGCATTTAATGTAGTTAGAAGTTTATTGATTAAGGAATTCCATTTAAGTAATCTTGAAACTTGTGCGACTCACAGAAATTAGTTAATAGTTTAAAGACATTTTTCTCGAGTTATTGTTTTTGCATTATCTTTTTTGAAAAATTATATATTATATCTTGATAAATAAAACTAATATAGTAACAATTTGAAACAACTATGAAATAACAGCTTGCAAAGCTTGGTGGAATTTGGATGGCAATATAATAAAATTTCAATTTAAAATAATCAGAAAACTGATATTAACTAACTACACCTAATCCCGTATCGTACCTCTTTAAATAGGCATTCAATGAACCGAGCGATAAACTTGATTATTTAAATGTCAATTAAAAAATTGAACGTGTCTCACCGGCATTGTGGACATGTCCACACATGTCGTCTCACACAACTCTTACATGTCCGTCTAGCCTCTGCTGAGACAAATTTATTTTGAATTTGCAGTACTCGGTATTCATTCTAAAATATTCTTTCATAATGCCTTTTTTCAGTTTCACAAACATTTTTATAAAGCTTTTTGAAGCAGATTTAATTTCAAGATTAATATATGAGACAAGCGGGATGTAAGTGCATGTACTTTGACGTGAAACCGATCAATTCTACATTATCAATAGGTATTAAATAGTATTAATATGAGTCAAACAATACAAACTTCATTGAAACATAGATAAATACTATGCAATGTGTTTAATATTTTGAATTGTGTATGTAAATTAGGCTCAAGTTGAAAATTTTCAAAACTGAAATACTCCAATTGAGTTTGACGTCAACCTATTCTGAGAAATTCAGAAAAGTCTTTTGCGTTTTAAATTTCATAATAATCTGTAATGGATCTACAGCTGTTCTTAGTCAGTCTTGGATTTATCCACTATTATTTTAGCCAACATTTTTTTTGCGCACGCGTGCACAAAGGCCGATTTGAATTGTCGTCGAAAAAAGAGAAAAATTAGGCATAAAAATATATG